TGGCTGCCTGCCGGGTTAAACCATGGCAGAGAAATAGAGAATTACAGGACTGGAGATGCAAAAAAGACCCTGGAACAGGAAAGGAGAGTGAGTGACCAGAGAAATGGTTTTGGGAAGAAGCCCAAGCAGGGCTGTAATGGGGATGGGCAGGAAAGCAGGGGTGTGTGTCTGGAAGAGCAAAAGAAGAAAAATATGACAAATAGGGCAGACCTAGTGTTTCCATTTGGTTCCCTGAAGTCCTCTCCTCCTTGCTGTGACTCAGACCAGCACTAGGGATGGCAAAAACATGGTTCACAGCATCTTCCTAAGTGCTCCCAATCCTGCCATGGGACAGCTCTGGAAATCGGCATCTCCTGCCCTGCTCCCAAGCTCCTGGCAGCATTTCCTAATGCCAGCAAAGCCAAGACTCACTCCATCACTTTCTAACAGCTACTGAAATTCGTGGAGGGTGGGAGAAACCCAGCCTGGAGGTATCTCCTGCTAACACACTCCATAACTGCTAACCCCGCCTGGCTTTGGCTGTTCATACCACTTACTTGGCAATAGCCTCATCTCGGTCCCGGATGGCCTGCAGCAGCCGTTCACTTGTCTCCTTGTCTTCAGCAGCACCTCGCAGCCGGTCCCGTTCCTCCTTCAGTGTTGTCATTTCCACACTCAGCAGCGTGACCTGTGGGCAGAGGGAGGGCGTGAAACCCAGGGCTGCTCAGACAAATTCACCATGAGGTGTCGGGGGGGGAAGCCACATGGGCCAACCTGGAGGCTGAGCTCCCCTGCTTGTAGAAGAAGCTGTGTCTGCTGGGAGGGGGCTGTTAGTGCTGGTGCAACCCCCCATGACATGTGTCAGCTTGCCTCGGGATGCCGGCAGTGCCGGTCTGAGCAAGATGGGTCACCAGGACGGCCTCAGTAATGTGCAGCAACAGCACTGAAAGCTGTGCAGTTGTGCAGGGCAGGACCCGTCTCCAACTTTGTTGTCACTATGGCATCAGCACTGAAATATTGCCCCTCTCCAAGCGTTTTGTCTTGTGCATGATCCTGAGTCTGCCTGTTGTATTCTGATCTTTCCAGGGTTAAATTATTGCAAACATAATTTAGCAGTAAATAAGATTTTTTGGAGGGGGCCGTTATGTCTCTTGAAGTAGTATGAAGCTGAAGACAAAGGATGTGAAAATTCCCTTTCACACCATGGAAGGTGTTACTGGAACATCTTACAATTTTAATTAGACTTCAAAATATGTGCGGAGTCTTCAATAGTCTGAGAAATGATCTATCGTTTTGGTCCTATGCAGAGTGAGTTAATAGGGTGTGAAATCATGCAAGGATTGCACTAGCACAGCTTTGCAATATTTCATACACGTTTAATTTCTTTGTCTAGGGCACACACATGCTCTGTTACACTGCTCCACCACCTGGAAACCGTTCCAGCATTTGACCCACCTCCTTTCTCTAAATGCAGCAGTAGTGCTTGAATCCTCAAAGAAATCTTTAAATAGAGGGCAGACAGTCAAAAAGAGCTCATCACATCAGCGGTGTGGGAGGATCTGCCGTTAGCGCCATGGCTGGGTCGGGAGGGAGGGAGGAGGGTGCGAAGGTGCCCTGTCTGTGTGCAGAGGCTCCCCGCTGTGTGCTGGGGCTGCCAGGGAATCGGGGAGCTCTGCCCGAGCTGTGCCCTCCCGCAGCCCAGCATGGGATGCACCTCAGAGCAATGATGTGATGGAGGACAGTGGTGGGAGCTATGTGAAAGGTGTTGAGCACTTCTGCTGAAATCCCAGTGGACAGTGGATCAAGAGGCCCAAAAAACGGCGTTTGGGGATAGGTTTGGGGTTTTAACTGGTTTTGTCTGTGTTTCAGGTAAGAATGGGATGCCACAGAGGGAGGAAACGGACCAGACAGAAGGTGTGAAACCGCTTTCCAGTGTAGACAGAGGCAGGGGTGATTCCTGTCTCCACCAGCTCACCGTGCTCTCAGGCAGGAGCAATGAATGTGTGTGCTGCTACGAGGTCCCAAAAGCCGTTTAGGAGGAGTTCCCCTTTTGTTGTATCAATAGTAGTGACAGCACAGAGGGATGCGGAGGCAGCAAAGCACTGCTGCCCTGGGTGGAGCAGATCTCCATGTGCATTGACTTTCTTTAGTACTGAACTGAAGACAATTTGCCTCTTCTATGGGAGGTGAGAATAATTTTTAACCTTGAGCAATGCGAGGCTGGGTTATGGGCAAAAGCTGCTGGGGATGTGTACTTGCTGCGTGAGGCTGAAGCGCTTCTCTGAGAACAATGTCTGCTGCGTTTGTAGTTATGCCTCATCTTTCACCATATAGCACAGAGGTGTGAGAAGAAAGTAGAACTGCAGTCTTCCCTTTGCTCCCTAAGTATTCAGAGCTTTGGTAGTCAGTGACCCCTAAAAGCAGAGATGGGGGTCCAGACTTGCGATCCAGGGCGGGTCCTCTCGTCCTTCCTGGCTGGGAAGTTTGTGGAGACCAGCCACAGCAAAGAACAACCAAGTGCTGCTCCCTCCTGGTGTCCTGTCAAGGCCTCGTGCAGCCAGGAGCGGTGGTAAGGAGGTGCTGCACCCAGCCAAGCAGGCTGGTGTACGGATGGTCGTCAAAATCAGTGAGTAAGCCTCTAACGGTCTCTGTCAGCACAGGACTATGGCAGCACGGCCAGAGGAGTACCTGCGCTCATGTCTCACTGGGGACACAAGTTTGGACCCTCGAAGGTGTCTCTTGTGGTGGCCACGTCTCTGAGAGGAGCAGTCCTCGGGGAAGGACGGGTGCCAGGGCTGCTCCCTCGCTGCAGTCTGCCTCCGATCAGCTGCTTTGTCGGCAAGACTGTTTCCCACCCTCGTACACGTGCAGCCATCACTGCTGGGGGGATTGAATGATGCTCTCACTCTTCTTTCTTTGGCCCCATGGTGGGAGCTCCCATAGCCCTACACAAGGCTGTCAGACCCCACGTTGTGCTGACTTTCTGAACGGGGATGTGTTTTCTTTTCTCTTCTCCGAAGGGGTACAGCGAAAGGCCGATACAGCACTGCTAGCAAGACCAGCCAAGGGCGTTAATCCCATTCCCTGCTCCAATGCAGTTGGTGCTGCACAAGCAGCTGCGCTAAAGGCTGCTTCTGCTGCAGCCTCCAGATTCCTTCCAGCATTTGGAGACTTGTCCCATAGAGACAGGGATTGCAGAGCATCTGCTTGAGTGCCCGTCTCCATTTGTTGCTTTTGGCATAAGACCTCAGACACAGACGATGCTACATTCAGTGCGGCTGCAGTGTGATTCTGTGCTTTGTGTGTGGTGTTGGTTTTGGGGTTGGATCATTCGTTGCTGTTGAGATTGTCTTAGTCAGTCCCTGTTGGCCCTGGGGTGCTGCCTGGTGCCAGGCTGGCCATGATTAAGATTCTCTAGATGTGCAAAACCCTCTAGAGGGTTTTGTGATGCTGCTGAGGAAGGGGGCCGAAGCTTGCACCACGCAGAGCAGAGCAGCACTGTTTTGTCCATCCAGTGGTTGCATATACCCTTTATGAGGGCTTAGCGCAAGCAAGACAGGTCAGACTGGATACCTATGGGTTTCCAGTACCCCATATCAAGCAGCCTTGTATTTTGGGGTCTTCTGCTGAGAAGAATTTAAGCAAGACAGGTTGGCTGAAAAGCAGATTGGGAGAAAGGTTTAAAGGAAGTTTGGCTGCTTGAGATGGTGTCTGGGATAGGCCCCAGACAACTTGTCAAAAACTCTGATCCTAAATGCATGAAGCCGCTGGACTGGGTTTAACAGAGTCTCCCTCATCCAGCCATAACTGATTTTGGCCCAAATCCTCCTGGGTTATTTATCATGTTGATCTCTTCTATGGAAGGCATGTCTTGGAGAATGAACACTGGTGTTACAAGACCATATGTAAAATGTGCGAATTGCTAACCTGGCTGTGCAGTCGCTGCAGCTCCTCCAAACTCTGCCTCAGTTTCCCCCGTTCTCCCTCCATTAATTCCCTCAGGGCTCGCGAATCCTCGCTTGTTCGCCTGATCTGTTCCTCTAATGTGTCGTCGTCGCTTCGTCGAGAGCTCTGAGAGCGGGAGAGAAATCTCTTGCTCAGATTTCACTTTAAAAAAGGCAATTGCATTAATTTGATACTGGTTTAGGATGGGGGGTACTAAACAAGGAAGAAGAAAGTGTGAATGTGCCTTTGGTAGAGTTTCAGTTTTGTTCCCATGTACCTCCACAGTGGAAACGTGCTCAGCCAAGGGTAGTGTTTCTACATGATAAAAAGAGCATGCAGACGTGTTCTCACCTTAGCATAAGCCAGATTTACAGAGACCTACTGACCACTTGGTAACATATGGCTACAGTCTCCATGTTTGTAGATCTTTTGCAGGACTCTCTATTTTTTATTTCGCAAATACAACTTGATCTCTATGCTCAGCCTTCTTACCAGCTGCTACAGGTCCTGAAACGAGGAAGGTGAGTACTCCCATGTGGGTCTGCAGTTGCAGGGTCTGTACCATCTTCCTCACCATGGCATCTCAAATAAGTCATACTGGCAATGCAACCAGCTTGTGGGTGATGGAAACAGGCCTGATTTGAGCCATTGCAAAAAGTGAGGTGTTTTCTTGTAATTCTGCATGCCTGTGGATGCTGAGTGGTCCTCCATGCCATCCCCTCCTCCCCAGCAGCCCCAGGACCATACCCCAGAGACACCATCCTGTGCCAGCAAAACCTTTCACCTGTCAATGGATTTGAGTCTGGCAGCTCTTGCCAAGACGTTTGTACCCAGTGTCAATTCGCAGGGGCAGAACCTACCCACATAGGGGTTGCGATGTTTTTGTGATACTATTGCTAATAAAGCAAGATTAGGAAAATCCTAAGAGAAATAACTGAACTGTGATGTATAAGACAATCTGCAGTATTTCCACATTGAAACTCTAATTTACTGCAAATCTCAAAGAAAGCCTACTTTCATTAATTTTCCAGAATGACTCCCAGGCCAACGACAGTTGCATGAGCTTGAAACTTGTGGTGGTCTGACCACTGCAGGCTGAAACTCCATGTGCTGGCTTGGCTCTTGGCTGACCATGTGAGACACATGGAGCAGGCTGTGCACTGTGACAGCCCATCTCTGTGGGCCACAGAGGTTTTCTTGGAGACCAGGGACTTCAGGATCCAGCGGAAACCCGCAGCAAGCTCTGTCACCAGGGCAAGGGGACATGCACAAGCCAAGGTCTCTCTGTGCCACCAACTTACCGTGGAGTCTGCCCCATCCAGCACATTTTGTATCAGTCTTTTCAGCTCGCTGAGAGCTGCCCGTAGGCTGCCGGCTGGGACATCTTTGGCTGATGAGGTCTCTGAAGACTCATCCATGGAGGAGTCTGTAGAGACTGCTGAGTCTGCACTGTCGTTTCCTCTGAGATGGGAGCAGAGATATCGCACTTGGCAATATGCTTCCCAGAGCTGCAGCCTCAGCTGGAACAAGAGAGCCTGACATTAGCCTGGGACACCAAGGCCATGGAGATCCTCCTTCCACGGTGAAGTGAGGCATGTGATTGCCAAACCTCACAAATATTTGTCTAGCTTGCTATGCTGGTCTTGAAATGGATGCAGAGATTTACTTTCATATGGTCAAAAGGGTGTTGACACCAGAGCTGAGACCACAACCCCAATTTTCTGGCTCTTGGTTCAGCTCCAAATCCAGATCAAATGCATTAAACTCCCTCTCCCTCTGGAGCTGGTCACAGAGGTCCATGAGCTTTCCGCGGGGCCGGAGGGCAAATACCTGTTCTCGTTCTTGTTCCAGCTCCTCTGCCTCCATGCTCTGCTCTATCTCAGATAGAAGGGACGTGCTGGTTGTGTTGAAATTTTGGAGACTTTTCTCCTCACTGAGCTCTTCTACCTTCCCCTGCAGCTGCCGGTAGGACAGCCGCACCTCCTGGAGCTCCAGCTGGCTTTGGTGCAGCTTGCAAAGAAAATCAAGGAATTTGTCAAGGAAGCAGGAAAAAAAAAAAAAATTAGTGGAGGTGATATGGACTGGATGAATCTCTTGGTTTGTGAAGGAGCTGAGACGGAGGAATGGGTGTCACGAAAGAGGGTGTCCAGCCAGGAGGAAAGTACTCTTGGCTGGTATTGCTATTTATTGGAGCTTAATAATCTCCAAATGTCATTAGACACTGTTTAGACTCCAGAATATCCTGAAAGATAAAAATAGCAGGTTAATCAGCACTAAAATGAAGAACATCATTGTGAAGAAGTTGGGACTCAGGTAAAAAAATTTGCTGAAAACAACACAGCAGGAAGTGAATCCAAAAAGAAAAGTAATATAGACATGTTTTTAAAAAACCTATGCACATATATAAATACAAATATATGTATATTTATATTAAAAAAAAGGGAAAAAAAGATTCAGGGCTGCTTTGGAGAGCTGGGAATCCAGTGGTTGTCAACCCACAGAAGAGAAATGAAAAAATCTTGCTCTCTACTAAAGTGTATGAAGCCACAGAGGTGCCAGCTTGTTCTCCGGGGAGTGACACGTGGCTGCGAACACCATGGGGCTTGTTGGGAAACCATCTGAGCAGTGAGAGCTATGAGGTCAGTTACTGCCCTCTGGGACAGTGGACTCTAAAGAAGTCCCTTCTGAAGCCAATTCTGTTGTTAAAAAATTAAACAAAATGAACTGCAACCAGAGTCTTCTGCTTTCTTTTACATGTCCCTCATTTCCCCAGCACCCTGTCCCACTCCCTTGCTCAGATCTCCCTCCCAAGCCACTCTTTGCTGTGAAGATGCCCCATTGCGGCTCCTGTTATCAGTCCCTATGGGGAACACCCATGACCTTGCTTGCTGCCATGTTTACATGAGCCATTTTATTCTTCCAGTTCTTTTTTCTCCCAGTTCCTGATTATCTTCCTGGTCAATTTTACAGCAAACCATGTCTTTTACTCCATTCCCCCCCCTCTTCCCTGTCCCATCGCTGCCTCCTCACCTGCAGGTCCTTGTCATGGCTTTGCCTCTCCAGGATGAGGACTCGGTCCTGCAGCTCCTCCACGGTTCCCTGGAGCAGGTCGTTCTCCTCCATCATGGCACTAAGGCGATGCTCCAGCTCCCGCTTTCTGTCCGTCAGCATTTTGATCTGCAGAGGAAGGAGAGGCGACGTTGGACCCCGCACTTTCCAGGGAGCAGAGAGGAGGGCAATTACATTCTCAAGAGAGGAATGAAAAAGCAAAAAGCAAAAGTATGTACATATGTATTCTGTACCCGTATAGGAGAAACTGTACCTCTGTGTGTGGTTTAAAGCTTAGGGAGGCTCTGAAAGGAAACTCCTCCTTCCCTAGGCTGCAGGGACAGCTCCGAAGGGGCTGGGTGTGCATTGGCAGGAAGCCAGGGAGCAGGCAGAAATGTCCAAACGGATTAAGCGGAGACCAGCCCTACCCACCCCTTGTACCTTAAAATTTGCAAGACTGGGCAAAACTAGTTACTTTTCCTGGCTGGTCCTTGACTGAGCATGGTGGCATTTTCTCCTGTATGGGTGCTGGAGACCATAGGGTGAGCCTGCGGGATCCTGCTCCCCGCAGGGCTGTGCCACAGCACTGCCCATACGCTTTTCTTAATTGCTGCCTGTTCGCCAGGTCCTCACCAGGGATTTTTCTGTCTTTTTACTTCTAAAGACTCCTTTCTGTGCCATGCTTATTTTTAGTCTCCCAGTGATTGGTTGCCGTTAAAATTGGTTCATTTCTTTTAATTGTCAAGGGCAGCGATTTCAGGTGAAGAGGGACAATGTGCCAAGCAAAACCTCTGTGATTCAGTTAGCTGGGAACAGTGCACAAGATGAATCAGCACTAGCCAAGGTGACTTTTTGTTTAACCAAGAAAAAGGAGCCTTTTCCCAGATTAGTACACACAGGACCTCTGGGGACTGGGTATGCCATTTACCAGTCCAGTGTAATCCTCAATATTCCCTATGGCCTCCTTTCAGTTCATGGACCATAGACAAATTCAGCCACTTCCCACTGCTTTCTTGGCCTCTTTGGGACCTTGTCTCTTTGCTGCTTTCCAGGTTGCTGGAAAGATTTGGCTGCATGAAGGAATATTAGCAAAGTGTGTGGACTTGCTATTTCTGCAGGTTAAAGGCTGCTGCAGGTATTAGAAAGCTGCTTTTAGGAGACTAATGGTTCCTGAGATGTCTCTTCCCACCACCATCATGATTTGTGTGGGTTGGAGAAAAGGGACATGAGAAAAATAAGAGGTATAATACTGAAATTATATCAAGAGTTCATTTTTGGTATTCAAACCAGTAATGAACACCCTGTGAATGATTGTAACAGAAAAAACATCGCTCTGCTGCAGGCCCTGGGCCATAGGAAGGGCACAGGGGGAAAGGGATTTGGGAAGCAAGAGACAGGAAGGAGGTGAGGAGACAAGGTGAGGCATGCACAGTGACAGGCATGCATGATGACAGCAATGCACGCGTGGGCAAAGCCTTTCCGAGCCTCTATACTTACTTCCAGGACCTGCTGCTCCACACCAAGGGGAAGGGAAGAAAAAGCGAGGGACCAGCAGGGAGCAGGTGGGAGTGGGAGAAAAGAAGAAATTGAGAGATTTTAGGAAAAGCTCTTCTAGATAGCTTATAAACAAAAAAAGTGTTAGGGTAGGAGAGTTGGACATCTACCCCTCTGGTTCCTGCCTACAAGGTCTCCAGTGACCCCCATCACAGAAAGCAAGAGCAAGGAAGTGCTAATGTACCAGAGCTAAACCAGGCAGGGACTCCTTGCTTTCCCACATGTGGCTCAGAGGCAGGAGAGGATTGCTGCTTTCTTTGCAGGCATGAGAAACAGAAAAAACCCTCTTGCAGACCTTCCCACCATGCCCCAGATTTTAATCTGCACTGGGCAGAAGGCCTGTAAGAGCACAGCCATGGTTTAGCTCCTAGAAGATCCTTCTCATCCGTTCATTTTGTAGGCGTGCTTGTGGCCAAGACAGCAGTGGAAGCTAGCCTGTGCCACCCCAGCCAGCCCTGGGTTGCAGCAAAAATCCTCACCGGAGTAGTCCTTTGCCCCACAGCTACCATCCTTCTCTTTGTTTGCTCCAAGCAGCAGGTTTTGTTTACCCAGTTCAGAGGGGTTCATTATACAACTTAAAATAGCCCTGGCCACTTTTTGAAGGAGTAAGGCTGAGCATGAGTGACTCACCTCAGCCTGAAGGCTCTCGAGCCGCACGATGTGTTGGCTGCTGGAGGAGTTCTTCTCCCGAAAGTCCTCCCGGAGGCTGTGGACCTGCAGGGAGAGCTGCCGCTCCACCTCTGACGCCTGCAAGGAGAGACCAGCTGGCGTTACCCCGGGGCGTCGTCCCATAGACAGAAAGCAGTTATCTCCTCCTGCCCATGGGAAGCCCTGCTCCAAAATTACTTCTGCACGAGCCCCAGTTTTGGCAGAAACTCTGAAGCCCACAGAGTCTTGTTGAGGGAAAAGCTCATCCTGGATGGACATTGAGGAGAGCAGCCATTTACACCATGTTGATTTTCCCCTGGGGCAGCCAAAGGGACACAGCCTATAACTTTCTTCCATTGCAAAATAGCATAATTCCCATGCCCTACAGGGAAATTAGTTTTCCTCAAAAACAGTAGACTGATCGGGGTTGAGGAGGAGACCAGGCCACTTGCAAAGGCAGAGGGAAGGCAATCTCCATAGACCCCCGAAACACTGCTATTAAATTTATGTTTTCTAAACCTCTGAACATCTTTGGCACAGCTCTAAAATAACAAGTGCTCTTTGCCTCTGATTTCTGGCTCCCGTCAGGGCCAGACGGAGAAGCATCCGCTCCACATAACTGTCGGTGCAGGATCGCTGGGCTTGGCCCTCTTTCCCATTCAGAAGGAGGGATGCCCCATTTATGCGGGGTGGTTTGAGGACAGTGGAAAGGCCATTCCTACCTGCAGGATGCAGGCTGCAGGCAGCCTGTATAAATGACAGCTTAGACGTGTTAACTACTCTCCAGACAGCTTTATGGCTGATTTTTACATGGTGAACACACTTGTTTAGGCTTGTAAGAGAACATAAGGTTTTTATGACAAATCCCTAATGAGACAGCGCAAATAGATGGGTTTCTATTTAATTAGCCTCCATCAGGTTCCATTACACTTAGGCACAGACCTCCCCCTCCAGCATATCAGCTGGAAGTGAATCGATCCCCTTCAAGAGGCAGCATTGCCATCCTGCTCGGGGCACAGACAGAGCTGTATATCCAATGGCAAATGCCATCAGCGGCCACAATGCCTTACACAGGGAGGTGAGATGGGAGGGAGGGATCGGGGCAAGAAGAGAAAACCCGCATTGGGGTCAGCAGCTGTGGGCAAGTTTGGGAGTGCATCCTTATGTCTGGCAAACGCGGGTCAGGATTTGACCCAGGGTGCTCTGACTGACAGGGAGCCCAAGGCTCCACCAAAGGGTGCAATGACAAGCTCTAGTAGCTTCTGACCTGAGGAATGAACACACAGACCCAGCCTGAGCTGCCCACAAAGGCAACACTACCCCCTTTTAAAAATGGTCCCTTATTTTGCACAGTCAGCAGCAAAATAATCCAAATCAGAAGCAAGAGGTAAAAGGCTGTTCCAGCTCCATCAAGTGGAGGAAACTGTGGTTGCCCCCAACACTGCTTGCTTGCAGGGGCAGCAGAAAACAGAAGCGTGGCCACTGAAATCGGCCAGGCTCTGACCACCGGCTTCTGGAATGAGAAATGGTTTCCAACAATAAGAAATAATCTTGTCTATCAATTGGTTTTTAGTTCCCTTCTTGTCCTGGATTAGCATAACTGGTCTTTTCCCGTTCTTTAAAGCCTCACATCAGAGGCCTTTGCGTATCGCCCTCACCTCATTTATTTAATAAAGCTTCCTTGCACAGGCAGAGTACACAAAATATAATGATAGCACAGCACTATAGGAAGGGGTTGGTTATTTTTCTTCCCTTAAGCAGCTATAGATTTCAGAGCATCCAGAGCAGCTATTAATTGGTGACACTAAAGAAGATGGATGGATTGTGCTTTTTTTTAATGATTCACTTGCTTTTGTAAAGACTGCTGAAACATCTTCATGCTGAAATACTCCGCGGGAGCTATCAAGGATGAAAAAGCACCAGATGAAAAGCACCAAAGGATTTTGCCTGCAAGATGCTGACCACACTCCCAAGGAGCACAAGTGTACCAGATGAGATGATACACCAATATTTGATGGTTAACTGTATAACATAATTTACATGCTAGAACAACTCTAGGTACAGATAGTGTAAATGTGCAATATAGCAGTAAGAAACAAGGGAGTGTTAACGGCACTGTAAAAATCCCTGGTAAGACAATATATAGCGGCTGTTGCTAGTTCTGGTCCCCATGCTCAGATTGGAGCAGGTGAAGGGATGGGCTGCAAGGGTGATCCAGATCGTGGAAAGTCTGTTATATGAAAGGAGACTAAAAAAGGATGGCTTGTTTTATCTCATGCAATGAATGCTGAGAGAGGACTCCCTATAAATACATCACGGACAAGCACACAGAAGGGAGAAGCGCTATTTAAGCAGAAGCCCAATTTTGGCAGAAAAAATGATGTGAATAAATTACATGAGCATATTAAGGCTGGGAATAGGAAGATTTCTATATTTCCAAGGAGCTGCAATAGGATCCCTCCTCCTGCACCATTACAGTAGGAGACATGGTGGCAAAAATTAATTTTGTGATGGAGCTGGATCACTTTATCATGCCGTTTCTTTCAGAGGGCTGCCTACGACAGAAGGGAAATGAATTGACCTCAAAGGTCCTTTCCGGTACTAGACTGCTTGCAGGACTGTAAGGTTTGTATTCACCAGCTTTAAATCATCATCTGGAATTTATCTACTTGCTGCTCAGCTCACACGCTCACTCATCTTATTCCTGTAGTTATAGCCCACATGGAGGGAAGAAAGGACTCACTTATTGTTAGCATTTAAAGCAGACAGGCCCTAAAGCAGACAGGATGTTACAGTGTCATCTCAGCGTACACCATTCATATCCTATCTCATGCAGTAGAGAAAAGTAAAAATAATACTTTCTTTAGCCTCATACAGTGCAGAATACTCTCTCTGACCAGCCGTTTAACAGAAGTAAACAGAAATGACTGTATCAGGTTTTTCCCTCCGCAGGAGAATGAGGAAGAGTCTTCATCCAGTTCTTCTGGATAGGGAAATGGCTGATATCTTTATTCTCACCTTTGCAAAGATTTGATTTTTCATAGACATGAGACAAAGTCTTCCGAGCTGAGCTCTGGTCATAGAAACCCCCTTTTCATGCTACATTTGTTTCAGAGGTTATTTGTACTGCTGCCGAACTAGCTTTTCTAATTGATTATGAAGTCTAGATTTTAACATCAATTTGCATTCTTTTACGGAAAGCCACCTTGACAGTGTCCAGTATTTGTCAGGCTTTATGGCGTATTTTTATATGACATCTACTTGGGTTCTCCATACTGCTGTACATGAGTGCATGTGTACATGTGTGTTTTAAACCATGAGCTCACTACTGATAACTTCTAACATGCTCTTTTACTTAGTGTCATCAGAAAAGGTACCCTTCTATCTACATTTTCCCTTTATTGCTCAAATAAGCTATACGTTTTGATGAATGGAAGCGAGTTTCTTCTCCTCAGCCAGTCTGGCTCTACTCTCATTATGCAAACTGTAGGGCTTTCTCTTCCCCATCAGTGTTTTCCCAAAATTAAAAGCTAAAACCTTTTGTGGTTACGTCATTTAGCGATGCATTGATTTTGCTAGAGAGAAGTAATATTCTTTCCAGAAAGGCAGACATATATCGCCCAACACCATAGCTTTGTTCTGTAGTTAAGAAAGAATTAATTTCCTAGGTATAGGCAAATTAGCCAACACAGCCACCAGGCAGAGTTTGAAATGTATCTGCAAAAGCGTAGACATCAATTCACAATCAGATATATTCAATCAACTGTGAGATTCGTTTTCTGGACTTCAGGCAAGGTTTAGATGAGATCTGGGCAGTGCAAGAAGAAAGGAAGAGCAGGAGGACATTTTGGCCTCTGCTTTAATTAAGTTTTTTTTTTCATTGCAAACCTGATTAAGTTTCTCTCGTGATTAATTCTGAAGTGCTAAAATACACAAAACTGTGTAGATATTTGGCAGAAAAATATGGCTTACCAATTACAATAACTCCGTGAAGTTTAACATCTGGAATATATGAGCAATAAATAAATTAAATAAATGTAAATAAATTGGAGCAGTGATGCTCCTGTGAAGAGGGGATCTTTGAAATGTTTGGGATGGACTGTGAGAAATAAACGGCCTGTAGGATAGTCTCATTCAAAGAAAACCCTCTTTGGGGGGAAGATTTGCTAAATAAAACTGCAATCAAAATATCCAGCTATAAGTCATGTCAGAAGAAAAGGAGAATGGAAAAAGTTTAATAGACTGTAGCTGGGTGAAGAAACCAATGTTTCCATATGATTTACTTCTACAAACAAGATGATTCAAATTTAACAAAGGATATTGAAGATATTCTTGCCTAAAATAGCTAAGAAAGAGAAGTCCTAATTAGTGCTAAATTTGTAACACTCAGGAGGGCATGTTACCCCTTTTATTAACTTGCTGTTAGCTGAGTTCAAGGGACTCCCCGTTCCCGCTGTGGTAGCATTAACACTTCGAACCACTAATCGCTGCCTCCTCTGGCTTCAGGTTCCTGGATTCCCAGCTCTTCTTTTGGCTACTGAAATGCAAGCAAAGGAGGAAACAACAAACGTCTTGCTTTAGAATACTAAAAAAACTCCATTAATCTGGCTGCTGAGGGAAGCCCGAGATAATTGGGATTGCTGCCCCGCCACCGCAGCCAGCACCCTGGTGTGGTGGCGGGAAGCCTGGTTTTCTGGGCTAGCCAATCCATGCCAAGAAAGTGGTGAGGCCATGGCTATTTTCCAGCCCTTGGCATGCCAGCACCATAAGCAACCATCTATATTTTGCACACCTGGAGGTTGCCCAGTTTGGGAATCTTTGAGAGATTTTTACCAAAGCTTTTAATTCAGGTCAACTTTAAATTGTTATTTAAAGCATTAGTCTATCCAGGAAAGTGCTTACGTAATAGCAGCGTTTGCTGTTCGTCACCTTTTGAGGGCTTCAGTTTGCATTTGCCGATTTATGTGCACAGAGGAGTGATTCCCTGATGGATGGCCCCTGCATCGCAGCACCCTCGGCTCCGATACGGCAATGCCGCTGCACGTGTGGAGAAGAGCAATGGCACTGTGGTGGGTTGGCCAGACGCCCACCCAGCTGCT